TCAAAGGAAAAAGGAGAAAAGTAGAAAAACAAATCTTAATAAAAAATCAAAGAGTCTCTCCATTGACGTGATCAAAATGATTCACAAGAATGGATTTTTGTTCAAAGCCAATACTATACTGTCCATTTTTTGGGTAGGCTATTTAACCCTTGGCGAGGGCTGGAGGTTATTAGAATTTAAATATAAAAATTTTGAAGAGATACAGTTCAAACATTGAAAGTGCATTTGTGTTGTTTAAACCCACTTCATTTGTAGCACATAGTTATCCTGCAGAGTAAAAAAAAAAAAAAAATGAGATGGCAATGAGAGTATGAATACACATCAGTGGTTTTTCTGGGGGACATCTTTTCCTATCAAGACAATTGCGGGAAGTTTAGTGTTGATTCCAATTCAAGTGAATCATCGTCTAAAAATATAAAGTCATAGTAGTCTTGGTTCCTTTTTCAGAACTAGGAATACTTTGCTGTAATGTACATATGCAATATAAAATCACAGGTTTGAATAAACCTATTGTCAAACTCCTGCCGTAACGAATTGTCATTTTATGTGTTTCTTTTAAATTATTCATTCTTTTTCTCTTCTTGCAAGCAAATAAGAAGTGTTCTTATAGTTTAGATCTTAAGTGTCGCCTAAAGATTCATGTATTAAAGGATTGCTTCTCAGTGTGGTACTATTGGAAGGTCATGGACACTTTAAGAGGTGCCCTAGTGGGAGTTCTTCCAATCACTGAGGGATTGCCTTTGAAGGGGATTGTAGGATTCCAGCCTCTTCTGCTTTTTCTCTTCCACTTTCTGACTGTGAGGTGAGTGGGTGTGCACTTCTGCCATGCTGTGTTGCTTTGCTACTAATCCAGAGCTATGGGGTCAACCAATCAAGGACTGAAGCATCCAAAATTGTAAGCCAAAATTAATCTTTTCCCTTTATAAGTTGATTATTTCAGATGTTGTCACAGTGACAGAATGCTGCATAATCCCCCAGATGGGTACCTCATAGTGGGATCTTTGCTGTGACTATACCTCATGATGTGGAAAAGTCTTTGGAATTGGTGCCTTTGGAAATGGTGTTCAAGAGGAAAAGTTTGGAGATGCAAGCTGAAAAAAGACGAGAATTCTCTAAGCTTAACAAGGGATTCCTTGTAAGGGACAGAAGACCCAAATGTGATAGGAATGTTGATAGGCAGTAAAGGTGATGCTGAAGAGGTTTCTGATGGAAATGAGGATTCTACTGGGAACTAGACTAGAAGTCACCTTTGTTACACTGTGGCAAAAAATTTAGATGTGTTTTGCCCATGCCTTAAGATTATGTGAAGCTGAGCTTAAAGGTGATGCTCTAGTTTATGTTGCAGGGGAAATTTCAAGGCAGTATAGCAAGCAGACAGGGGGATGTGTAGTACTGGCCTCTTTTATTTCAATTTATAGGGAGAATTGGGAGCCAAAAAAAGAGCATAGCAGAAATATTGGCAAAAATATTCATTGAGTGTGTACTTTATGCAAGAGCTATGCTAGATACAAAGGATAATTTGATAGGTAGGACTGAGCCTTCTTCTCAACATCTTCTTAGATGAAGGAGAGTAGTATGACAAAGTGTCACAAATTTCCATTTTATGCGCTCTCGGTAGTTCAGGAAAGACTTCGTGGAGGAGCTGGGCATGGTACCTGTTCTCAGATATGACCAAGTAAAGATGGAGCTGGTCTAGTTGCTATGAATTGTGCCTTAGAGAGAAGGCAAGATTCTGCTGCATAAGTAAACCAGGGAAGCAACTTGCTTGATTTAATAAGACCTAGCATAGCTCTAGGTCACCATTCACAGAGCAAAATCACATTCAGGGGCTGTGGAAGTCAAATAAGACTAAATGAGTAGCTAGATACAGGCACACATATATACACATGTACACACACACCATATTATGCTTCTTGAAAATGATCCATGTGGCTGTGTCTTCATCCACATCTCTTCTAGGTATATTGAAACACTCCATGAGTTATATATATGTTGATTAGAAATTTGACAATACTTTTGAGCCAACCTAAACTTACCTTATGTCTTTTTACCTTCAAGCCTAGGCACAGCTATCCAATCATTCAATAACAAATAATGCCACCATTATTTCCCTAGTTGCACAAGCCAGGAATCTAAGAGTTCATCTTGTTAGCTCTGCTTTTCTTTCTGTGCTGTAAGGTAGTACCAGCAGATTGGATGTCTAATTCCAACAGTCTGTATTAAAATCCTGTCCCTTATGTAAAACAGTTGTAGGACTTTGGACAAGTGAATGCAATCTCTCTGTGCTTTGGTTTCCTCAAGTTAACAGTAGAGATAATGACATAGGTTATTGTACAGTGTCAAATAGAACATTCACACAAAGCCTAAGATCAGATCTAGAGCATACATATGTATATATGAGCTCACAGAGAGTATAGCACACACATATTTAAGACCTATATGCATAAGTATAAAACCAAAACATTTACCAAATTAGTATGCTATTTAAATTCAAATGTTGTTCACCTAAGAACTAAGCACTATCAATCAAGGATTCTCTGCAATTTTTGTAGCAACTAGAGATAAATACCAAGGTAAATTAAAAAAAAAAAAAGATGTTCGAAATATAACATCTTAGCTGTCACATTAAAGTAGAGCTGCACTGTTACTGCAGTCCCGTGGATTGGTTCTGATCATGTGTTTCTCTCTATACCTACAATGTTATATACACTAACTCTTTGCTCTTGGGTTTTATGCATATGACCTTGTACATATTCTGTTGGTGCTTTGAAATGAATATATTCTAAAATTGCATCTTTAAAAAATAAATGAGAGATAATAAATGATGACAGTTTATCTGCAGTGCACTTTATCTACATTTTTTCCCATTTGAGGACTTGAAGGGGCAACATTTAGCTTATCTGGAAATGTTTTCCTGTACTGGGAGTATGCTTGTACATTGTTCAAAACCAGGAACCATACTTTATTTTCCCAAGAATACCTCATCTAATACCTTAATGTATATGTTCTCTGTAAATATTTATTGCTCAAACCCATTACTCTTCAGAAATAAAAGCAAAGTTTCATTACATGATTGTAATGTACTTTCTTTAGTTGTATCATATAAAATATTTTACTTACTTTTTTTATCACACAAATCAGCAAATATTTGCACATTTTTGACTATTAATAAAGTATTGGTTGAAGTAACAGAGTAAAAATCATGGGAAACATAAATATATGGGTCCCTTGGTATAATTTTATATCCCTGGGTATAATTTTATCTAGAATATTTTGATTTTGTTGTTAAGAAAAAATAGCAAGATAAACATTTTCAATGGCACACTTTTGCCACAAGTTTTTTACCAGAGCTGCCCAGTCAGTGTTCATTTTCATTGCCACCATTCTGCCCCCTTATTGAATAATTGTTTTATAGATTCATGAAACTCTTTGCTTGTTCTCTTGCTCCATTAAAGTGACTCAGTCTTTGAAATAACCCTATCTTTCTGTTAAAGTTGCATTTACAGGGCTGGGATTGTGGTTTAGCGGTAGAGCGCTTGCCTAGCACGGGTGGGACCTGGGTTCAATTCTCAGCACCACATAAAAATAAAGGCATTGTGTTGTGTCCATCTACAAAAAAAAAAAAAAAAAAATTCTCTCTCTCTCTCTCTCTTTTTAAAAAAATTTTTTTAAAAAGTTGCATTTACAGAAATCTTTCATTCAACGATGGCAAAACAGATAATGATGTGACAATTCATTGTTGCACCTTAGTTTTTCACCTTGCCTTGGTTTTCCTCGGATGAATTGATTTTGGATTTTGCAAAGACAAAGGCTTATTCTACTGAAAACAGAGATACAACAAAACGTAGAAGTGAAAATAAAAAATAACAACAGATGACCAATATGATAGTTACATCATTGCTACCATTTTTGAGTATTTTAATTCTGGTCTATTTTCAATGTCTTCATGACAATGAGCCCATATTTTATTTCATATTTGTGTGAAATTTTATTTTATTTTGCCTAATTTTATAGTGTTTACAGTTTATTGTGTTAACTCAAAATACTATCCTAAATTTGCTATCTATATTTACTTAATAATCTATCATAAGGCATATTCTTCTTGAATTTAATTTATATATGGTAAGTGAAGATTTGTGTTATCCTTACTATTTAATTAGAAATAATTTGCTAATTACCCAGTGCAAAAGACAGTAATCTATTCTTACCTTCCAACTTATACTGCCTAATGTAACATTTTAAATTTGATTACATATTTGGGGGTCTGTTTTTCCCACCAGTTTAAGGCTTTTAAAAAAGTTTTATATAAAATCATTTTACTCTCTGTGAAAATAGATTCCTACAACATTCTTCTTTTTCAAAATATCTTAGTTTCCATTCCATCTGTTTTCAGATGAAACTCTAGTGAGCATTTTTTTAAAATTCACATTTATTTGCAAAATGTTTTTCATATCATGCTTATGTTTTTTATTGTGGTAAAAGCATAGGACAAAATTTACCATCTTACCATTTTGAAGTGTCTATACAGCAATCTTTACTATATGTTCATTAGTGCAATAGAGAGCATTTACAGTGCATATCTCAGTTGGTCATAGATGTGCATGAAACAATTTGAGGAACCTCAAAATTTAATCATCCCACCTACAATGCTTCTGCTCTTTTCCTCATTATGACAAGTCCTTAAAACGTACTGTGTAATCAATGCCCTTGCTACCATTCTGCATCACTTACTCTGTGGCTCCTCTATAGTGTTTGCAGATGGCCTTGTATCCTACCTGTTGCTGTGAAAACAGATTCAGACACTTGCAATCCCAGCTGTCCTGACTGTGGGCCCTCAGCAAAGTTGCATTGACCAGAGGAAAATCTTTCTCGCTGTTGCTCTTGCTCTTGTTCCTTGCTCTCATTTGTGCATGCACACTTTGGCCATTAAAGAAGTAATCTAGATGAGCATCGGACTCCCCATCTCACAAATGCTATTGTGGATACTTATTTCCCCACAGACTGCAGGAGTAGAGGGCAACCTAGAGCATTTGCACCAGAATCTCGAAAGAAACACTCTGCTCAACGCAGCTACTCTGGCAAGAAAAAGGTGGACCTAAGTGATCCGCTTAATAGGTATGTATAGAAATATCTCATTTTTATAGATTACTTATTATAGGCTTCCATTCTGCAACTTATTTTTTTTATAGATACTACAGTTGGCTCGTTTACATGTAATTACGACAAACTATATGAAAAGGCACAAACACAGATGAATTCCATATGTTTGAATTCCATTTCTTCTGGAGCAGTATATCCAGGAAATTTATCTCAGTAAAGTGAAGAAAACTTCATGGCATTGATATTATTTTTGACTCTTTATATCACATCATCAGTGTTGATAATTTTCAAATTTATTTTGAAAATATGCAACAGCAAATCGTAAGAAAGTGGATACTATTTATTGTTCAGTTGATTTTTTGTTCATGAACAGAGTATTGCAAGGAAGGCTTAATTCATGGCCAAGGTAAAATATTTTTTTTTAATTCTTAAAAAATTGGGAAATAATCTTATTCTTTTAAAATCTCTTAGGACTTCTTTCCTTAAATTTATATACTGAGTTAATATGTAGTTATTCCTTTACAGAGTTTCTCTTCCTTATGTACTTGAATACTTGGAAAATAGCAAGTACATTGTACAATGATATGCCTAGTGGTTCTTTTTCGCCAAGTAAACTTTCAATAGGTGCTGGTGTAATTAAATAAAAAGAAACATTGCAATTCACAACTCCATGGACAAGGCAGTTTCTTTTTCTTGCAAGCAACTCTGGGTAGTGTCTGTTTTTCGTGGCTGGCTGCTAGGTGGGATTTTATTCACCTGTTAAATTTAAAATACACTGTTGGGTTCCATTTTCTCTACTGTATGAATTTGTGAAGTGTGTAGAAATGAGAAAGACACAGAGTCTGTCTTTTTGGGTTTAATGTCTAGGAAGACAGGTAGTGTGTGATATGGAGGATGAAGATTTTAGAATCAAGCACACTTAAGTTCGAATACTTTTCCACTGCTTGATAACTATACAAATGATGTCAAATTTCCAGGTCTGTTTCCTCTGCTGTTAAGTGGGCATGTAATACTTACTGTACATGGTTATTGTGTTAACGTGGAATATATATCTAAAGTAACCTAGTACTAATATAGTAATTAGCATAGTATAGTTATTCCATAAAACACAGAATAATAGTAAATGCTGTTATAACATTATATACTAAATATTCTTTTAAAGACAACAATATTATCTCATTGAAGGCATTCATATACAGGTATGAACCTGATCAAAATAACGAGTAACTCAGAACAATGAATGTTAGTTCTAACTGGGGACCTTGGATGGACTATATAGAGGAGATATCTCAAAGAATAAGCTAAGATTCTCATAGAATTTAAGGGAGTTCCTATCATTCCTAGAAAGAACAATGTAAGGAAAGTTAAAGGAAAGGAAAGTGAGAGGTGTGTTTGGAGAATGGTAAGGATAGTGATTAGTGAGTTTGGTATGTTTATGGATGGACAATTTTCTTGGAAGAACACTCTAAAAGAAGATCAAGGCAAAGAGTGGAGAGCCTTAAATCCCAGGATAAGGAAACAAAATTTCCTCCAAGTGTTCCTGGAGCGAATTCTTGCAAGGTATTAGAATATTGACCAGGAGATGCAGCCCCTGTTAGAACCATCGTTAAATAATTAAAGGGTTGGAAAAAAATCACTTGGCCCTTTAATTTGGCATTTTATTGTTTTTTTTTTTAATTGACTCCAGCAGGTGGTGTGTCTCACTAGTGCACTCCAGCAGGTGGTATGTTTCATTAGAAATGAGTGTTGGACTCCCATTTTAGAAGGACAATCCCGTGTCTTATAAGATGTTAATGAGTGTCTGGCTCTTGTGTAATATGGATAATGACATGCATTACCTGCCTTCTGTCCTGGTTCACAGCCATGCCCAGGTTCTACCACAAAGACTTATTCACTTGTTTTAGGATCAATGTTCTTTTCTAATTTCATCTGAACTCTTACGTCTCTGGGTGGCCTTACTAAAATTCTGTTTCTGTGTTTCCTCAATACTCAGCTAAATATTTGTTGGTTTCATTTTTTAGCTTTCTGCCAATCTTATGGGACTTTTACTTTCAGTTCAATATATCATTTTTCAGTTTAGGATAACAAGGTAACAAGAGCTTTCTTTTGTCTTCTAGTGAAAGGGTACCATTGTTAAGGGTACCATTGTTGTTCAGACCAGAGGGGCTCAGATCCCCTTGATCAATATATACAGATCATTTAGGATGCAATTTCACTTTGCTTTCTCTGTGTTCATCTTTCTTGTATTTTTTCTGTCCTTTTATCCTCATTTAAAAAAATTCCATCTTGATTACAATTCAAGACTTCCTTTCAACCCACTATTTAGGAATTAAAAATCAATTCATCTTGATAAATCTTACTATCTTCCCTTAGGATTGAACTCAAGCAATATGCTGAGTTTCATGTTTTCAATACAAAAGTGAAATATAACAACATCCATAATGTCTGTTTTCTTTCTTTCTTCTCCTCCTTCTCCTCCTCCTCCTCTCCCTCCCCACCCTGCTTCTCCTCCTTGCAATAAACTTCCAAAGTAGTCTTTTTTTTTTTTTTTTTTTTTTTTTTGCTTCTGTGCTCTGCCTCCACATTGTCTAAAGCACAAATCTGACCATGTTCAAGACAACCTACTGTTGCCCATGAATGAAAAACAGTCTGCATAGTTCTTAGGAGCCTGAGCATTTTTCTTTTTTTTAAATCCTGATTTGCATCCCATCTGAGCAATTTACCGGTGACACGCTGTGGGCATGTTAACAACCTTCTCGGCTACAGTGTTCTCATCTGAGATGGAGGGCTAAAGTGTCTCCAAGCACTGTTGGGCATGTTGAGTGACAGGACAGGTTCTTCAGCATCAATAATCTTGCCTGGAATAGGGAAGGTGCTTATAGTGACTTGAAACAGGAGGTGGATAAAGGCTTGGTATTCTCTTCACACAGCTCTTCTGACTAGTTCTCAACTCCACCCTCAGGCAGAAGTCATCATCTTATTTATTTATCCATGAAAAAATTTTTGACAATAACAGTGATTTTAATTTTCATTCTATGTGAGTTTTTTTAGTATTTTCTATATTTTTTTCTGATCAAGAATCAACCAGTGGAAACTACTTTTTAAATAAAAGAATCAATTTTTCTTATGAATTTTGATGATTTTTTCTTCTATGCTTTTGTATTGGACATTTTTCTAAAATGAAATATGCAATTTTTATTAAGAGGAACCTATTAAAAAGAATATATTGAAAATATAAATGATTATTATAATTAAAAGTTCATTCTTATGAGTAAAGGTAATCTTTTCTCCCCATTTTTTGTTCAGAGTACAAGTGACTTTTTTCTCATAAGTAACCACATTCTAAAGTAGTATATAATCCTTTCTAGGGACAAAACATTTTTACTACATTTTAAATTTTATTTTAGTGTTGTAAAAATGCTTAAGATGAGAAAATGAGATCTTCCTGTCTACCTTTTTTTCCCCCTAGTACTGGGGACTCTCTATTACTGAGCTATATCCCCAACACTTTTTATTTTGATACAGGGTCTCACCAAGAGACTGGCCTTGAATTTTCAATCCTTCTGCCTCAACCTCCCTAGTAGCTAGGATTACAGGTGTTTGCCCCCACTTCATGCTTAGTCCTCATAAATTTTAAGTATTGCTTGTCTATTTATTTGTTAGTAGAAATTTAAGGTGTTTTAATATCTTTGTTAATGTGAATAAAGGTGCAATGAACCTGGGGGGTACAGTTTCTCTTCAAGATCCTAATTTCACTATTTTTGGAAAAATACCCAGAAGTGAGATTTCTAGAACATATAATAGTGCTATTTTTGAAAACTTTTTAGGAACTTCTGTACTGTTTTCCACACTGGCTACACTATTCTACATTGCCACCAACAGTGTATAATACTCACCAATGATAGTAATTATTATTTTTTTAATATTAGTATCCTAACAGGTATTAGGTGATAGATACGTCATTGTGGTTCTAGAGGACATTATGTTAAGTGAAATAAACCAGTTGCAGAAAGATACTACATGATTCCATTTTCATGAGGTGTTTAAAACAGTCCAATTCACAGAAATAGAGAGTAGAATGGTGATTTCTAGGGTTTCAGGGGAAGAGGAAATGGGGATAATTGCTCAATAGGCTTAGAAGTTCAATTATGCAAGACAATAATTTCTAGAGATTTACTGCATAGCATAGAACTTACAGAAAAAAATATGGCATCATGCTCTTAGAAATACATTAAAAGAGACTGGGATTGTAGCTCAGTGGTACAGCGCTTGCCTAGCACGTGTGAGGCACTGGGTTTGATCTTCAGCACCACATATAAGTAAATAAAAGAAAAGCATCATGTCCATTCACAACTAAAAATTAAAAAAAAAAGATAAGCAGGAATACATTAAGAGGCTAGATCTCATGTTAAATTCTTTTTTTTGTTGTTGGTTCTTTTTAGTTATATATGACAACAGAATCCATTTTGACATAATATAAAGGCATGGAATATACGTTGTTCTATTTCTTCTTGTCCTTCCCTCTCCCTACCCCATGATTCCTTTCTGCTATTGTTCTTTTGGCCACTTACCCATAGTTTTTTTTTTTAAATTAATTTCCTTTGGATGTATACAATGATGAGATTCACTATGGTATATTCATATACATACATAAGGTATTAATCACAAAAGTGAAGGATAAAAGTTAAAATGAGCATGTACAAAAGAACATACAGAGATTTCTGGAGATGATGGATATATTTAGTGCCTTGATTCTAGTATTACAGTGTATACATCATTCAAATGAATTAAATATATAGAGCTTTAAATATTAATTATGCCTCAATAAATGTAAAAATGTAGTGCTATTGACTATAAGTACACTGTTGTTCTTATTAATCCTCTTGATACAGATATTTCTTGCTTGCTTACTGGTATATTCTTTTCCCTGAGAATGTGAGAAACCTAATGGAAGGAAGCCCCTTATCTTCTGTACCTACCTATCTTAGCATAACATGCACCCCACACTTAATCATATAATTTCAAATGCCATACAACATCTGGTCTTGCCCATACCAGCCACTCCATGTTCCCACATTTCATAGTTTGAGTCTTGGCTAGGTCTTCATACATTCACCCAGGTTTCTCTGTGATTAAGTTCCTTTTGATTAGACACTGAGGATTTACAGGAGAGAGCACTATACAAATAAAATGTGTCCAGTAATTTTTATTAATATTATACATCTTATTAATATTATAGTTATTAGCACTTTACACTTGGGCGCCTGCATTGATTTAAACAGCACTATAGTAGGAGCTGGGTTTTGTGGCCACTATTGATTCATGGTGCTGTAGTTCACAGTAGGGAACACAAGAGTTGTCTAATGACCATCATGCTGCTGTTTGTAACTTCTCTTATTTTTCAATGTTTCCCTATTGTAACTTCCCTAACCAATGTTAAGATCTGTAAAATATCTCTGATTTAGAAATTGTTTTTATAAGCTCATAGGATGTATTCTTTTTGGCAAGGCATTTTCTCATTTAACAACAGAAGACGTATTTCAAATAGAACAAAGTGAAATGATTTTGAAAGTCACAATGGCTTCTCAGGCATTAAGTTTTAAAAACTAGAAAATAGTTGAAAACTTGAGACACAGATATCACATCAACTAAATCAAAGCCATAAAAACTGTTTTTTAACAATATGTCATATGCATAGATGTCGGGAACTTTCATTTCTATTTATCAATAAGTTATTTGCTGTGATTTTTGAGGATGTCAGTTAAGCTCTAAGAAACATTGTCAATTCACACAAAAACTTTTTGATTTTTTAAAAATTATCAACAGTACTAAGCTATTTTGTGTCTGGTTTGATATCCGATTTTTGTCATAGTATCCTTATTCTTAATTTAGTTCTTGCCATGAATTTATAATAGAGCAAGGATCTTTCCCACCTGGGTACTGTATAATATGTAATATCTAATTTGTCACAGCTTTTTCAATGTGTAAATTGAAATGAACAATTCATTAGCAAAAGACACACTTTGAGGTTTAAATAATATGTCAAATGTATACGAAATGCAACATGACATTCCCTTGATTTCATAAAAATCCCTATCATTTTAGATAAACTACATAAAGCAGATGTGATACTGGATTATCATTTTATATGCCATTTAATTTTAATTTCAAATTCCAGTCATACCTTTTTCTTTTAGGATTATACAGAACACCAATCACACTGCTTTGTATATTCAAAATGTCAAAGGAATATTTGTTGATGTTTAAAAAACTTCCTGCGACTTTTATTTTCCAACATTTCATTTGTTTCTTAAAACAGGCAACAAGACAGCTTGAACTCGGATGACGATGCTACAATTGTGTTGCTTCTGGCCAAAACAAAGTTTTTCCAGGATTTCAGCAATTTTGCAGCAGAAATTCAGAAAACCATTACAACTCTCAAAGAGCAGGTTTGTTTTCTCTGCCAAGTAACAAGTCCTTGTTGTGTGGACTGGAACAAGTAAACTTAAAAAAAAAATCTGTCTAACATTTTCAAAGTCTTAATGCAATATCAAGATGATAACTACATAGATAAGGAGTCTTGTCATAGTCAGAGCTGCATCAGGGCGAGAAGAGGTAGGGGAAGCCCTCACCACCAAGATGCAGAATGCCTATTCCACCCAATACCAATGTCTTCAATGCACATGAATTTGGGTGGTCAGGAGCCCTGTGTTGTGTTTCTGAATTCTTCACCAGCACATTTCTGAATAATTGAGTTTGGGTGCTCTCTTTATCTCTAGAAAATACAGATAATTTTCAGTGGCACAACATGTTCTTTTCTTATCCATTTTTTTTTTTTTGATGGAGTCAAGGAAGCTTCTAATGATTACTGGTTTTTCTGGCTTTCCTTTTCTTAAAAGTTATTTTTAAATTTCCCATACTCCTCTGCAATTTTGCTTCTTTTCTCAGTTGTTCTGGCTCCTGCTTTGATTTTTCCCTACAGTTTGGAATGAATCAGTAGAGGGATTTGGCTAGTATTAGGAATGGCAATCAAGATGTTTGCATTTAGAAATGCAAGCCTGGTTTCTTTCAAGGCATGGTTCCAAGCTCTCTGTTCCTTAGACATCAACATCAATGTGAGGCATACACTTTTCCTCACACTATCAAAAACCTTGGACGAGTATGTGGTGAGCCCAGGATTTGCTTTTTGGAAGTTCTGTTCTTACTCGTTGTTTTGGCAATACATTTAATCATTCAGACCTACTGTCCTTATCTGAACTTTGAGGGCTATTGTGAGGATCAAATGAAATTACACAGCAGAAGTATCGTAACTGTTCTTTTCTGGAGATGTGTCATTGCCCACTGGGTATGCTCCACCAATAGGCTGGCACTACAGTGCCAGGTGGGCTGTACCACATTCCACAATGGTGTGTGCACATCAGTGTCCTTCCTCTGATTGCGATGCCCCATTATTGACACATACCCAATGTGAACCTAAGCATAAATCTGAAGGAGGAGAGGCTTTGTTTATAAGAGGGCTAATATAAAATATTGTGGAATGGATGGAGTGGCCTAGGGCTCTGCATTTAGAAATCCTATTTGCAGAGAGTGATTATGTCAGAGAAGAGAGAAGGTAAAATAGAAGGAAGAGTTCTTGGTGTTAGGCTAGAGAAGGTGAGCCTAGTCATTTCAAAATTAGTCTGTCCATCTTTAGCAAACTCTTTTTCTGTAAATTTATTTTATGATTTGCAAACATAGGTAGACTCCATAAGCAACATTTCGGTCCAGTTTGGTCTATATATTGGTGGTGATAATTTTATTTTTCATACATGTAGGGTAGTGACTGAAAGCATTGATACCCAAAGACTGCATTAGATGACCTTTCTCAGTTCTAATAACATTCTGAATTCATACATATCTCTAAATACATCAAAATTGAATGCTTTTACCCTTTAATACTCTGTCTCTTCCTTCCCATTGAAAATTTCTTAATAGTTGAGACTATTTCACTGAGGAATTTTCATTGATGCAAAGTAGTTCATGTCCAAAAATAACCAATTTCTTTGTGTTGGAGCAAAGTTAGCTCTGGATCTGTCAGGAGTCCAAGGTGTGTGACAGGTTAGTCAAGGTTAGAAAAGGGAGTAAGAAGATGCTATGATCTCTAATATGAGTCAGAGGATTACTTGAGTCCTGGCCAGGCAAAACAGATGGGAAGAGGTTACAGTGCTTCACGGTGCCTTGTGCACATTGAATGTCAGAGAGAAATTGTCCATCAGATTGGATATAAATGCGTAAGTAAACATGACATAACACCAGCAGTGAGGAACATTGACTGAAGCCAGAAATCAGCCCAGATCATCCAAAAGGAATTGGGAAAAATAAAGAGCTAAGAGTGGAAAGCAGAGATAAGCTGAGCTAATTTCTTGGGAGGCCCTCAGGTGTAACTACACTGGAGCCAGGCGAGTGCCCAAAGGTGGATGGGAACAATGAAGAGAGACTTTCTGGGGACAAAGGATCTTTTCAGATATAGCAAACTCTTAGGATTTTCAAATTTTGCATGTGCTTCTCATTTCTCATTTGCTGTATAAAGACATGAGTTGTAACAGCCCATGTTGAAAAGCTGGTTGTGAAAGTGAGCATGTCAGATGGAAAAGGGCATTTCTGAATGTGCAGATATGCAACTCTGTGGTTTTTCTATTACTCATTGGAGTGGATGCAATAAGTCCTGTGAAGAATTGTCTTTAAACAAATCTTTGTTTTATAAAAAATAAGCACAGAAATAGGTTTTGATGCAAGAAGTCAGGGAATTCACAACAGCCAGAGGAATAGCTGCTGGATTTGCAGGGCTCACTAGGAAGCCACAGCACATCTCTGAAATCTTTGCTGGATCCTCAAGTTCAGTCCTTGTGTAGGCATCTGCTGACAAATGTGCTTCAGAATCATAATGGCTTTTCCTTCTGAACCTTATATGAATGTCTCTCGTTGGTAGATTCTAACCCAGAACCCCAGAACCATGGAGGGAAGGATTAGCAATGATCCACTGAAATCTGTGGGCACGGTGGGTGCTTATGAAGAAAGCTGACAATAGAAAAACCTCTTTCTAGGGAAGATTATGTGTTTCACTGTGACTTGGTGTTTGGTTAGGTATTGTGAAAGACAAAATGCTTGTTCTGATTGTCAGGTTCTTAAATTTATTTTTGATTGACACCTAAAAGCATACATATTGATGGGCTATAGTGATCATTTAATACATGTATACAATATATAATGATCAAGTAAGTGTAATTAACATTTTTATCTCCTCATTTATCATTTCATTTTCCTCTCTTCTTATTCTTTTAAAGATAAATAATAATTTTAACCTAAATTGATCACAATTATGTATAGAACATATAGATGTTCCTTGATTTATCATGGGGTTATAACCCAATAAATTCATCAGAAGTTCAAAATATCATAAATTGCAAATGTCCAACCTATCAAACATCATAATTCACTGCAGAATATTGTTTCTTTCCTCTTAGAATGCTTGGGCTCACTGGGGAACTGCAGCTCCCTGCCCCTGCTCAGCATCATGAAGGAGGAAGATATCATGTATAGCTAGGCCAGGAAACATCAGAATTTAAAACATGAAGTACAACTTTTGAATGAATATTGTTTGTACTCTATAGTAAAGTAAAAAAAAAATGTAAGTTGAACCTGCATAAGTCAGGGGCCATTGATACACAAATAGATAATGGAGAGAGCTATGGAAATCATTAGGTTGACTACTAAAACTTATTGATCTAATTTAGATCCTTTTTTTAAAATTATGAAAGGCCAATATTAATAATAAGTCCAAGAAAGAAAAGAATGAGACGTATCTCAGAAAATCCAGCCCCATCACATTATTGAACATGTACATGAAGATGAATGAGAAAAAATGAACCTAAGTTATTTCAGAGGCTTTCAAAAAGAGAGTCAGGTAATGTTGTTACTAAAGTGACAATTATAGTAGGTGAAAGTTAAGTTTTAAACGGTTATGAAATCTGTAAGAAACTGAAAAATGTCCAGTGTGGCTGCAGATCATCTGACCAAGAAAGGGAAAAAAAGGCATGAGATGGTTGGGTGGAAGAATTCTAGATGAGACCTCCTAGGACCATGTGGATGATGTTCTCCTGGGCTCCAAGTGAATGAGGGAGCTGTTAGGAGAATTTAGCACTGCTCTGGGTTTGCGTTTAAGGAATGCAATCTGATGTTCCTATGAGAGTTGAACCAAGGAATATAAAAATAGCCTTAATAACCTGCTGTTGTCACCCAGGGGTGTGATGATATATGGATTACACTATGGTGATGATCTTAGAAAAAAGAAAAATGGACACTTTTTGGAGATGTAATTGTTTAGTGGTATAAGCAGGACCTGTTTACTTATGTGTCATTGCAATTCCACCTTAAAGCAAGGCTTCCACTCTAGCTGGGGTTTTTAGGATGAACCTCCTGAGAGTTCTCCTGTGCTATGGACAGAGGACAGTGAACTTCTTATACAAGGAGAGTCCTGAGGTTTGGGGGGCACCTTCCTGAAAGAAGGCCTGGGACAATGAGAATAGTGAATGCACAGTTATTTTAGAAAGAGGAGCCCACCAAGATTTGAAAGAGGCAGTTACCTGAGAATATTTTAAAAGGCAACAAGAGGGTATTTATGCTTGTGAGGTCATCCTGGGATTATCAGGACACTGTAGGAGGCAAAGATACAGGCAGGGAATGATGTTTAGAAGCAGCCATGCTAAATCAAACCCTAATGGTGGGCTGCTCCATGTTTCTTTCCTGTGTCTTCATTGGGCTGCATGTTGACTGTCAGAGAAGACAGTGTTAGAGGGCAATCAAAGAAGACAATTAAGTTCTCCAAGTGCAGTGTACTTAAATTAGATATAAATACCCCAAAGAAACTTTGGGAATTAACAAATACATGGAAATTCAATGAAATGTTACTCATAATAAATCACAAGAGAAATGAGAATATTTTCTGAAGTGAGTGAAAATGAACGCCAAACACAGAAAACAGACGGATGGATGTAGTTAATTCAGTGCTTGTGGGGAAAAAACATTAAAGGAAAAATATCTCTAATCAATAATCTACTATTTTCCATTAAGAAACATAGAAAGAGTGACCTAAACTGAAAACAAACAGAAAGAATTAAATATTGCAGAGTGGATAATAATGAAATAGAAAACCGAAAGTGTAAGAAAGTCAACAGAAACTAAAGCTTATTCTTTGAAAAGATTAACAACAAAGTTGAGATACTTCAGTTAGATTGATAAAGAGAAAATTCAAATTACTTAAATCAGGAACAAAGAAAGAAACATCACTACTGACATAATAAAAAAATGATTTTAACACTGTGAACCATTGTCTATGAACAAATGGAGATAACTTAGATAAAATGCATAAACTCCTATGAAGATGTGAACTACTAACATGAATTTAAGAAGA